ATAAAGAACCAGATTTTCTTTTTTTTTTTTTAAATAAGAGCTCCTGGTTAAAATCTGTGTGTCAGATCCCATATGGGGGCTGTAAGATCTAATTTTACTTAAGGGCCCGGAGGCACAGAGGCTAGCCAAGATTCTGAGAAGATATCAAATAAAAACCTTGGAACCAATAGAAAGCAATTTTCATAATTAGGAGGAACACAGCACCCCATATATCATCATTAGTCTGAGACAAGGAACAGAAGGTTGGGGAGGGGAAAGGATGGTTTCCCTAAACAGGGAACAGGTGGCCAGTGCAGTCAGGGCCAGCTAGGGAAACCTTAGGCAACTCTGCTCGAAAATTTCTCTGCTTCTCCCCTAGAGACTCTCAGATACAGAGGAAAACAGGATTGTTTGTTATTGGCAGTGGGTATTTGCCTCCATGATAGTGTTTTCATTCTTACAGAGACACAGAGAAAGGCCAAGGGATAGAATTTAATGGCACCCATAGACACTGCGGAAAATGAAGTGTTTTTGTATGTCCTGACAAACTGAGGTTTTGATGTCACAAAACGTCCAAAATGCAATTTGGCTTTCATTTGAATTGCTTCCTGCAAAGTTAATTGTTTACTCCCAATCCATAATTGATGATAGCTTTTCCCCTGTTGCAGTTAGACCAAGGAATCTTGGCAGTCTAGTGCTATAGAAGTCAGACACATGCAGGTGATAACACCCCAAGAAGAGCTGAAATATTAGCCTTCTGAGACACAGGCTGTGCAAATTTCTCTGGCTTACAAAAGAGACATCAGTTACACCTTAGAGCCTGTCTTGTAGACTTAGCTTCATAAAAGTTGTATAATAATTTTAGAAAGTACAGATGACATGGCAGAAGAAATGCCAGAGGATAAGCTCTGGGGAGCCTGATTAATCATTTTCACAGGAGGTATAAGGAATGAGGGGGTTCTCATAGCCAAAGAAGTGATTTGCATGTTTACCTAATTTTCTTCTGCCACTTCTTCTGTATTCCCATGATGTCCAGTACAGAGTGAGTGTGCAGCGTTGATTGTTTGAAGAGCAGCCACCACATACATGTCCTGCCCCACCACAAAAGGAAGGAAAAAAGAAAGAAAAAAAGAAAGAAAGAAAGAAACAGCAAAAAAAAAAAAAAAAAACAAAAAAAAAAACTAAGCAAGACAAAACAAATATCCACATCTGTGGTTCAAAGATTGAGATTATGACTTTATATAAAGTCCTTTCCCTCTGTAGACTTGCTGCGAATTATTCCGATATGATGGTAACAATTTTTTAAAAGGAAGGGAAATTGTGATATGTGGTATGTACATATTTTTAAATGTTTTCTCTCTGCTTTGATCGCTTTTGCTTTATTCAATTTGTCTTTATTAAATATTATCAAAGCAAAATTTGTTCTTCCCATTACTCTGTTTTGATTAGAGGACTACTGAATGGAGAGCTTTTTGATTTCTCCAAGGGAATTGTTTTGTAGAAAAGGCCATAGTAGGTTTCCTTTGCCACTGCCTCCTTCTGCTGGGAAGGTAACCTTTAGCAAGAGCTATAGCCTCTTAATCTTTTAGTGGAAATTGCTCTTGTGAAAATGAGCCCTGATAGTATCTTGGCTCACTAATTCATGCCATGTGGCCCAAAATTAAAGCATTAAAATTTCATAGATGTAATATCATTTATAAATCATGTCATAAAAAACATTTATTTTCTTATAGACCTTGAAAACTGGGCATGTCTTTTTCCTCCAGCTGTTGCTTAAAGTTCTTTACAGCACACTGATATTTGTCGAAAACAAAGCTCTGGTAAGGTGGGGAGATATTTAGCAGCAACACCTTCAGAGCGCCAGGGCACTGTCCTGCCATCCTTGTGTACATGTTGCTCACATTAGTGGTCATGGAGACTGCAAGCTCATCTCTGTCTAATGAGAGATTCCCGGCAGAATTGTATTAATGGAGCAAGTGGTTCTGGGAGGGCGGTTTTATCATTCTTTATGTCCTTATTCTGTTCACTTTGAGAAAGAGACTATTTACCATTGTCCCTGAATTTCTCTCCTATAAAACGTCAATATGTTTAGTGGATGAAGACAACAGACTAATTAAGTAGACGGTCAACATTTGCTACATTTCAAAAAATGACAATGACAGATGATTCTTTTTGCCGTTTATCCTTAAGAAACAGATGGGGACTTGGTAATTGTTTAAGCAACAGAAATAACGCCCTTATATACTCTCTAGTTTTTTCTTTGTTTCTCTTTGACTATGCCTGAATACAAACCCTTTTTTCCATTCAAAATGGTGGAAATTAGAATATCCATGTTGAGGTGTTTTCAGGAGGTACATGCCACATACTTGGCTTGCAGATGCTAATGAATATATAATCACATTTGCCAACCACAAAATCCCTATTGGTAAAATACTTTCATCCACAATAATCTGCTACTTTCTTGAAACATGCTAATTTTCTTAAATAATGTAGAGGCCTATAAGGACTTCTATTTACATAAACAACGAGATGTGGTAAACAATCCTATGCAAAACGCCATTATATCATAATCTGGACTTGGTTACTTTTCAGGAGTTTGGGGTTTTTGTTTGTTTGCTTGTGTTGTTTTCTTTTAATTTAATTTGGCTAGCATTTTATAGTAGAGTATTAAGATGGATTCTTTGACCTTTGATATAAAAAGTAGCTGAACCATTTCTTTATTGCTTGATTTGTTGGATTAGAGAAGATTTTATCTATTCAGTATTAAAGATTAACCCCAGGAAGATGGGAGCTACTCTAAAGTATGGAATTTCTAAGTTGAGTGCATTTTCTCCATGCTAAAATCAGCCTAGACACAGATATCTGGTAGTGTAGAATTCCCTTAATCTTTGAGGCACAGCATCTGTATGCTCATTCACATGGACACATTTTACATGCACTACCTGTCCATGCCACCAGGATCATTTGTCTGGTATGTGGTTTTGTGCTAATTGAAATATTGGTTTATTTGTTGTCAGCCTGAGATGCCTTCTTCAACAAGACTAAAAACAATTTCAAGCAGAATATAAAAAAGATGCATGTGAGGATATACCTATGCATACACAAACTTGTGTGTGTGTGGACATACATATATTCTACACAAGTGCACTGAAGGAGAGAGCAAGAGGGAGTTTCTATTTTCATTCTACCATGCTTACATATATTCATATGCTTTCACGTTGGGTATAGCTTTGGATCTGAGAAAAACAGACTATTATGTGTCTGGTAACTTCACTGGAAAATCTGAAAGAGTCTAAATTAGTCAATTCCTGCTGATCTTTTGGATACATGAATTCGTATGTCCACTAATTTGTTTTTTTTTTTGTTGTTGTTGTTGTTGTTTTTGCCTTTTATTGTGGAGAGGGGAGAAATCCAAACATACACAAATATAAACAGAATAATATAGAAGAAATCTCTACACATCCATCACCAGCTCCAGAAAAATACCAACTCATTGGTCTCCACAGCCCCATCTCCATCACCAGTCACATCTTCCCAACCTTTCTCCCACCTATGTTTTCATGAGGCAAATTCAATATCATATTATTTCATTTCAAAATATTTCATTATGTACTTATATAAGATAAAAACATAGTTTTTATATATGAGTAGAATACCAATCCCACACTTAAAAAACACCATGAGTCTTAATGTTATCAAATCTCCAGTCACTGCAGTTATCTAATGCATCATACATTTTTTAAGAAATCATAATTCAAATATTCTACGTATGCAAAATACATACATTGCTTGTCCATAGATTGATTTGTCTTTGAGACTTTTTAAAACATATGGGTACTCCTCTCCTTTCCTTTTTTCTTCTTGCTGCTCATTTGTCAAACTGCAAGGAAAAAACATGATTGTTTGTCCTATAGCTTCTCACTGTCTAGTTTTTGCTGATTGCAACCCCAGGATACAGTTTAATATGTTCTTTGGTCTCTTTTTTACTGTACTTAGTAGTTGGATCTAGAGGTTTTATCATATTAGATTTTTGTGGGGTTTTTCTGATAAGACATTTACATTATGTGTTCTTGTCCACTTAATAAAAAGCACACTATATGCTCTCTTTTCGAAGTGCTAGCTATTGATGTTCTATGCCTAAATCCATTGGTTTATTAGAGATTACAAAATAGGGGTATTCGTATTTTCTCCTGCCTTCATCATTTATTAAATGTGACATTTTTATAATAAAAATTTCCTCTTTTCTACTCTTTGGTTGCTAGTAGTACAACTAGTATAGCCAAGGGAGGGTAAACTCTTGATTCTTTTGTGATATTGTGCTGGCCTAGAGCCAGAACCGGAGCAACACTATTTTATAAAATGCAAAACTGTTTTTTAAATAAGTTGAAGTGGCTGCCCCATTCTCCTCACAATAACTACTGTCCTTGGCCTCTGTAAATAGAACTGCTAGTTTGTTCTTCAAAACTATGTAAAGCTGCTTACCTTTTCTTATCAGTAACTGCTAAAATCTGTGACTTCTATCACCACCCAGACGATGTGTAAACAAATGTATAACTAGACTTCTGTAAACCACTGAAGTAACAAACAGAATGACAAAAGTCCCCTGCCCTTGGAATGTCCGGAGACCCCCGCCCTTGTCTCCACCCAGGAGGTGAATCACAGAATCCCCTAGCCCTTGGAATGTCTGAAACTTTTTCATCCCCATCCCCGCCCCTCACCCCCACTCCCAAGGTGGTTTTTCGGGTATAAAAAATCGTGGCACCCTCCTTTTGGCACCACAGGTTGGAGAGACGTGAGTCCTCTGTGGTCGCCGGCATAATAAATGACCCTGCAATCTGGCATACTTTTGTCTTGTGATAACTTTCTACGCTCCGGTCAAATACAACACTTTTATTTTCAGTTTTCAAAATTATCATTAGTTCCCTGACAGTATCCCTCGGTACTCAATAATTTTTTAATATCATGAAGAACACATGGATTTAAAATTTATTGAAGTATTTCAATCTATTATACTTATATCATTCCTGTTGATGCTTAAGTTGTTACATCTTTGGCCTGTAGGAGGCTCTTACAGGTTACTCTCACATTGTTTTGACAGATTCATGTCCACTCTTCACTCTGTTGAGGATATTGAATCCCAGGGATTTTGGAAAAAGCTGCTACCCTCTCCCTTTCACTAAGCCTACGCTTTCTGTCTCTTGCTCTTTCCAGGTGTTCTGTCACCTGACTTTAACTTGGGGATAGTTCCTGAAGGAGCCAGTATTTATATGTAAATTATTGAGAAACACAAAGGTGCCAGAACACATAGTTTTCAACAACCTCTTTTATTCTTCTCACATTTTTATGTTATCTTAGGGAACCAAATTCACCTGGTGTTTGGAATTCTAACTTTTTGATAGCCCCTTAGCCCCTGGTTGCAAACTGCTGTACTTTTTTTATGTCTCCATCACTGCATGGCTTGTGGTAGTCACTTGAATACTTGTTGAATGAATCAATGACTGAAAGAACAAATAAACAAAAAAATAAACCCATGACCTCTTTTTACTTTAAAGCATAAATCTGCTTTTAGATATGATGCCGTGAAACAGAATAATCTTAGCTGATAAGAGAGAGTTGATATTGCATGTGCAGGTTGAGAGGACATTTCTGAGTAATTTGGGAGAGGGGCTTCAATAGGAAACTGCCCCTTGCATGGAAAAGCATTCCCTGTACAGTCTTTCAGACACTAATTTTGACAAGCACCAAAGCAAGACACATGCTTTGAAGTGCTATGGGATTTTATGCCAAGAGTTTGAAATAATTTAATGAATCTGGAGGGGGTGGAGGTAGCATAGAATTATGGTTGCTTTATCCATTTTTTTTCTGATCTGTTTAGGTGATTTATCTATTCCGATTTCCCTGAATTGTTTAGTGCTGAGATTTCATGGAAATAGGTGTTCTAAAACCCACTAAATATTGTTTTTTAATTACCTCACAGCCTCAAAGGAACAAGTAATCCTCATCTTCTTTTTATTGGCACTAAAATTCTCTATAACCACCAGCTCCCATAAAGATCATTCTTTTTGAAGCCTTGTTTTTTACTAAGGAATGTTGATTTTCTAGATAGATCACTGCAGGATGGAGTCAGGCAAAGAATAATTATTGTCATTCAAGTCAGTGTTTCATAATCTACCTGGGTGCTAAGATCCACCCCAATTGGAAAGAGTACATGTGTTAAAATTATCTATTCATCAGACAAGCAAAGCAATAATTTTGTAAGACATCATGTGTCTGTGTTCACATATATACATATCTGGGGAGCGATGGTTAACAGTTTCCTAAGCACTGTGTATGCTAAATTAATGCTTATCAGGTATCTTATTCCTTAAACCAATAGTCTACATAGACATTTTTACTGTACTCACTCCAAAGTAAATAATTTTTGAGCATTTAACCTAAACAAATTAGATTGAACCATATGAAATTGATATTTTATGGGTCAAAAGTAGTTGAACATTGGCAATTTCATATTTTTCAACTTTCTAATTTTATCTATTAGTTACAAGTATGTACATATGTACTATCGTCATTAATATAACAAGCACAATAACTCTTTGGGTAAGAGTCAATAATTTATTGGATGTAAATCTGCACTTCCAATCGTCTCCTGGGTAATTTCTAAATCATTGAGTTAGTTCTGATGAGATCAGATCATCACAGCTTTTACTCTGATACTGTGGCTAGCTAGAAACTTGCCCTAGGAGATGTATCAGCTCTTCTAGTTTTTTCTTGTATCAATGTGCTTGTCTTATTACTATTTTTAGTCAATCTATGGTTTCTTTGCAGAAATCTCTTTATGCTCCTTGTCCATTTTGAGAGGGCTAATTAATAAGTCAGAACTAAATAATATAATACATATATAAACCAGTTTGACTAGACCATTTAATTCAGAATATGTTGCACAGTACTCAAGGAGAAGGTTTAACATGTTGACTCTGACATGCAGATGAGTGATGGTGCCGTAGACAAATAGGATATTAGATTTTAGTAGAACTTAATTTATTTCTAATTTTTCCAGTGACACAGTGGATATAAATGAAAGTTCAAATCTAATTTGAATTGTGCCTCCCACATGCAGTCTTTCCATGTGGCTTGGATTTATCACAGCCTGGTGGCTGGGTTCTGAGATAGAGCATCTGCAAAGCAAGCATTTCAAGAAATTAGGTGAACATTGTATAGACTTTCATAACTCAGCCTTGGAAATCACATAGTGTCACTTCCTCATCCTTAATTAATTAAAGTAATTACAATCCCATGTGGATTTAAGAGGACGGTACATAGACCTCTCTATGAAGGAATGTCAAAAAGTTTGTGGCCACTGTTTATAAACCACCACACTACTCAATGCATGAATCCCTTAACAAATAGCTATCCACATTTACTACCTCTACTGATAAGGAGTTCATTATCACAGAACATAAACTATTCCTTTGGGGGGGACAGTATTAAATATTAAAAATATTTTCTCAAGCTGAACAAAAATGTGCTTTCTTATTACCCAGTTTTTGTCCCCAATTTCTGCCCTCCTGAACAGGACAGAGCAAGTCAGCTTTCCTTTTTGCTTGGAAGTAGTTTTCAAGTGAATTGTGTTTTCTTTTGGAGGTTCACACTCCTAGTTCCTTTGACTTTTTCCTGTTTCTCTCATCACCTGCTTATCTTCTAAGCAAACAACACTTTATCTCTATTTCTCTTAAAGTGCTACTAAATTTGAGCCCACGTACCATTTAATGCTGTCCTTGCTGGCTGGGTTGCTACAGTACTATTTGTGTATGTAATAGTTTCTCAAAGGAAATATCTATAGAACAATTAATTAGCACAAACTGTTAATATAAAATTTTTCAGATCCTCAGAGTACCGGCATACTCTGAGCCAATGAGAGCCGATATGGGAGATTGTACCGGATGCTGTCAGGCTGCAAACATTTGTGCCCCATATGGCAAATGTTCTCAGCCAGTGAGTACTCTACTGTACCATACTGAGTTGAAAGTCTTCAGCGGTGTTTGTTATGTACCCCTCAGGAGCCTCTCTTTATGGCATATATTTTTGTGTTCTGGTTAACTGTTTGAAACCATTATGGCCAACAAAATGTACATAAGTGATAGTGTTGGGTCTGAGGCAAAGAAACCCAGGAAGAGTATTCCACTGGGTGTTAACATGCAGGGCTTCCAGCAGCTTGAGGAACCTTTGATGAAAAGGTCAAAGTAACAGATGGTAAAGATCAGCAGGAAATTAGGGATTGGGATAAGTCCTTTTGACATTCGGAAGGGCATTATAAAATATCCCTGTAGGATTGCCCAACAGTTGTTTGAAAAACTCTTAGAAGAAACTAAGGCTAGAAGATGTCATGACTTCTGCTGATTTAACAAAAATGAAAGAATGCTATTCACTGTATGATGCCGGGAACTCATCTTTATAGGAACTATGTGCATAAGACCCTGTGCAATGCAGATATACTAAGTACTCTTTCTTTTTCAGAAATGAATGTCCCACACCAAAATCATATTTCTATACTCCAGGTGAATTTTAATCAGAGAAGACTGAAGTAGAACTAATTTTTTTTATAATATAACATTTTTCATCAACTACTTAAGGTGTCTTTAGCTTTTTAAACAGCTACATAATACTGTTGACCCATCTTAAGATTCTTCAATAAAGACCTCCATATTTTTTTAAGGTAAAATTCTTTTTTTTTTTAATTGTACTTTAAGTTCTGGGGTACATGTACAGATCTTGCAGGATTGTTGCATAGGTATACACATGCCATGGTGGTTTGCTGCCTTCATCCCCCCATCACCTGCATCAGGCATTTCTCCTAGTGTTATCCCTCCCCAACCTCTCCTACCCTGCTGTCCCTCCCCTAGCCCCCAATCCCCCAATAGACCCCAGTGTGTGATGTTCCCCTCCCTGTGCCCAAGTGTTCTCATTGTTCAACACCCATCTGTGAGTGAAAACATGTGGTGTTTGATTTTCTGTTCTTGTGTCAGTTTGCCGAAATTGATGGTTTCCAGATTCATCCATGTCCCTACAAAGGACACAAACTCATCGTTTTTTATAGCTGCATAGTATTCCATGGTGTATATGTGCCACATTTTCTTTGTCCAGTCTATCATCAATGGGCATTTGGGTTAGTTCCAGGTCTTTGCTATTGTAAACAGTACCACAATGAGCATACATGTACATGTGTCATTATAATAGAAAGATTTATAATCCTTTGGGTATATATCCAGTAATGGAATTGTTGGGTCAAATGGAATTTCTATTTCTAGATCCTTGAGGAATGGCCACACTGTCTTCCACAATGGTTGAACTAATTTACACTTCCACCAACACAAAGTGTTCCTGTTTCTCCATATCCTCTCCAGTATCTGTTGTCTCCAGATTTTTTAATGATCGCCATTCTAACTGGCATGAGATGGTATCTCAATGTGGTTTTGATTTGCATTTCTCTAACAACCAGTGATGATGAGCATTTTGTCGTATGTTTGTTGGCCTCATAAATGTCTTCTTTTGAAAAGTGTCTGTTCATATCCTTCACCCCTTAAAATTCTATTCGTCATCACCACTCTAATACGTAGTCTGATCATGGTGGTGATGAGGACTGTGACTAATGTTTATTGGCACTTGTTTAGCTCAGGCACAATTAAGTTCTTTTCGCTATTTCAGGAAATCCTCACCCCAAACCTATGAGGTAGTTAATTTTATTCTCCCTACCTTATGTATGGGGAGTATTATAGAAGCTGAGTAACTTGCCCCAAGTCTTATAGTTAGTAAATGATAGAGCTGGGATCAGTGGAGCCGTTGTGCTAATGTCAGATGTTGAGGATGTCATTTATGATGTCAAATATCTATCCCAGGTTGGGTTGTATTTGTAAACTGCATGACAGCAGGATTTGATCTGAAACAGTGCTTGCTTGATTCAGAATTGATGCTGAATGAATGAACATGTTGTGGGCCTGTTGATCCATGAATTCACTAATAAGCATCTGTGATGCAAAGCCCAATTCCTCCTGCTGCAAATCATGTCTGTCAATCTTAATGTGCACCAAAAATGTTTTTTAAAGCCATGATTTCATAATTATAGGGTTCCACAAAAACATCCTCTTGGGAGAGTCAGCAGCATTAAGGCATAGCAATATTTTTGTTCAGGGTGCATTAGGTATCTCTGATTTGCCAATATCTTAAATGCTAGTAGCAGCCTCAGACATGAAATTACCTAGTGGGCAATCCTAATAGGAGAAACAAGCTCTAAAAGAGAAAAATATAAGGAATCCTACCCCTGGCTCTCAATGGAAAGTGGCATGAGTCATACTAGCTCTAAAGAAATATGCATCCACCACTGAAATCATGCAACAAAAGAAACTAAACTGAGATGGTTGAGTTGAGCTTTCTCAAAGATCAATTGACCTATTTTGTCCGATGATATGTGGGCAGAACTGATATAGGCTACTTCCCAGCAGAAAATTTTAGAGACCTTATGTAATATACTGCCACATGGGGCTTTTTCTCTGTCACAAGGCCAGCAATGTCCCAAATATGAGTGTTTCATTAGTCTGGGTCCCAGAGTGAAGAAGACATCTAGCCAGCCCATTATGATCATGCAGTGCTAGCAAGAAATAAGCTAAGTCCTTGAGGATTTGGGATTGTTACCACAGCACATGTAACCTAAGCTGACTAAAAAAACTGGAAGTATGCTTGGCCAGGCACCGCCGCTCACACCTGTAATCCCAGCGCTTTGGGAGACTGAGGCAGATGGATCACCTGAGGTCAGAAGTTTGAGACCAGCCTGGCCAACATGGTGAAACCTCATCTCTACTAAAAATACAAAAAATTAGCCAGGCATGGTGGCATGCACTTATAATCCCAGCTACTTGTGAGGCTGAGGTAGGAGAATTGCTTCAACCCGGGAGGCGGAGGTTGCAATGAGCCAAGATCACACCACTGCACTCCAGCCTGGGCAACAGAGTGAGACTCCATCTCAAAAAAAACAAACAAAACTACAAATATGCTTAAGGAAATCAGGGCTAAAGCTGGAGAAACATGTTAAGCATAAGGGGAAGAACAACCCCTTCCAGTCCCAGGCACTTACAAAGAGGGGAGAGCCTAAATGCAGACACCACCTCGGAGGCATGGTTGGACATACTGGGTGGAGGGGCAGGTGCAGAGTAAATGCACAGTTCATGCTGGAACCAGGCCCATTTTACTTATTTATTGGCTAAAAGAATAGTTTTAGATTATGCGTCTCAAAGTGTATGGCATTGAAAAGTCACTGGCCTGGAATACCCTGACCCCCTGCAAAAATCAACTGGCCTATCTCACTTCAATCCATTTCAAATATTTAGTTTCTAATTAGATTTCATTTGTGCAAAGGGTTCTGCAACCAAAAATGCTTGAAAATCACTGCCTCTGATGAGGCCACAGGCTCATTTCAACTATTTTGAAATGATTATCATCAAATTCTGTGGACTCTGTTTTGGTCTGTCCTAATCTCAACCCTTCTTTTCAGAGCATGTGGCAGAAGCAGCTTCACTACAGAGATAAATATTCATGTGCATCGCATTTTGCTCACAGGCACTGTATAAACCATATTTAGAACTCTGAATGTTGAGATGTACTGTGTCAACATTGAAATTTAATTACTGTGATGGACTTTAAATCCATGTACCTCCTTGCACTGCAGTATGAATATTACCTCTTGTGTTTCTTCATTCTCCTTTATGTTCCTGTAGAAGAAGGTTGCAATCTGTCTAACCAGAACACCCACCTGCCCTTCTCCTCCAAGTGAATGAAATGAACTCTCAGTTTTATGACTGTTTTATCTTTGTATTGTGAAAAAGAAATATTGTCTTGCTAAACTCTTTGGACACTTCCCAATATGCACTATCTCTCTGCTACTCCTATTATCACTCATTCTGGTAATAAATGATAATGTTCATTGCTAGGATTTGTAAAGCACTGTCAAGTTAGCCCATTATTTTAAACTCAGGTTAAAGTAAGGATTTTAGATTTATATAAGCCTGGTGCAGTTTCATTAAGAACCAAAGGCATTTTAATTTTTCTCCCTCTACCCAAGAGACTTTATACTTCTTAATGTGACATTAATCAGTGTTTTAATATTTCTTCAAAATGTATCTATTCTCTGTATGCTATTTACTGTCTTTGTCAAAGTCAATGAACAGGAATAAAAAGTAACTACATGATATAGAAACTACTGCCTTCTTGGCCCTTGTGTAATAGGTAAGTGGATGCTGTTCAAAGTGAATCTATCCAGGGTGCTTTTCCTATTTCTGTATAGGATTTTGATTTCATTTTAAATTAATGTCATAAACCCCAGGTCTGAAAACTAATGGAATTTTTGCATTTACCTACTGATCTATAACCTTTAGGTTAGCCTGTATGACCATTTGCAGTCAGTTCGTTGGATGATGCAATGCTCCAATGCTGAATGAAAAGATTTCTGCTATATTCCAGATACCAGATATGAAGGCCAGTTTGGGTGGATTATTATTAGAATGATTTTATATTAGTTCTGATGTGTAGTACAGAATAAGCTGTATGAGTTAGCTACAGCCCCCTAAATGAGAGGAGACAAGGAAAGAGATGTGTTTGATTACCTGCACTGACTCACTTTGGGAGACGGAAGGCTAATTAGGAGTCCAGGGATTGGCAGAACAGATTTTCTGTGTCCTGGTCAGTACACAGTGAGTGTGTACACTGTTGCTGGCTGGCTGGTCCCCATGGAGACATTACTGCTTGATCAGTTCTTCTCAGCACCTGTGTGTCCAGAGCTGTGACTGTGGCTTTGAGATGCCTGGTTAAAGGGAAAAGTTCTCTAGATGCTGAGAGGCTGATGTACATGTAGAGGAGCCTGTATTCTGCTGCCCGTCCTGGCCCTGGACAGTATGATGCAGTATGTGCTTACACGCAACGAATCAAGTCCAAATCCCACCTCTAGGCTTACTGGCTGAATGACTTTGGGAAAATTATTTAATCTCTAAATTGGTCTGTTCATCTGTAACCTGATGTTGGCGTGAGTATTAAATGTGATAATAGAGAAAAAGCATCCAGTCAAGTTCCAGGCACATAATGGGCTCTTGATAAACGGAAGTTAAAAGGAAAACCTGTCCCTCAGGCAGCTCAAATCAGGTCTAATGACATCCAATGGGACAAGAGATGTGGCACGTGGGTGGGAAAAGCCTGGAGGCTGGTATTGATGAGTGGCAGGCTCAGGGTACCAACAGGTGCAGAGAGGTCCTTCCTGCTACTGGCTGTGACAGCACCAGCTCTCCATAAACATCCATCAGTTAGGATCCACCAGGCCTTGAGGAGAGTAAAGAGGGCACCAGGGAAGCTATCCCTGGGAGACCTGGCACAAACCCGAAGGAGAAGAAGGCAGGACACAGGGATGATGAACATGCAGAGCACACACTTCGCCTTTTCCATTTTTACCCGCAGCCAATCTGCTCCTGACCAGATCAGATCTCAGCCTAGATCCCATTTCTCTTTCTACTGCATATTCCCCTAAAGCCATCTTTAAAGAGAATGATAGACCCAGTGAATGCTTAGTAGCCACAGGTAGTTTTTTTTTTTTAATAGTGTCTGTCCAAAGAAATACAAATTAAAAAAATAAAGCATTTCCCCTAGTTTTTTAAAAAATGTAGCCATATAAATAAAGTATATGATGCCTTCCCCACTTGTCTCCTCCCTTTCATGTTTTCTGGATTTCTGCTTTTCTACCACAGCAAACTCCAGTGTCTTTGTGCTACACAGAACACAAGGATTAGTCGAAGTTACTCAGACACATAAGCTAAAGAAAAGAAGTAAACTGAGCTTCAAAACTAATAGCACAAAAGTAATGCATTTGATATTTGCCATGGACAGGATGCTGTAGATCAGCACATGTGCTAGTTGGCCATATGCCCGCATATCCTTAGATTCATTTCCCACCCTTCCTCTACTCTGCTGCCAATCACAGGAAACACCATTTGCAGGGGCTCCCTTGACAACTAGCTTCCAGTAGTTTTGGCAATCATGGGTACTAGTGGAAAAGTGTAGGATGAGGAAAGGGGAGAAGTCACTGTATTCTCCCTCTGCCTTGGGGAGGCATTTCCAGCAGGAAGAAGCTGTGTCTTCTGGGGCTGCACTCCCACTAGACATCCTTTCCCTCATGGTCCCAGCTCCTGCCAGGCATTCACTAGTTTCCACTTGTTCCAGCCCGAGTAACTGATTTCTGGAAATACCACATGCTAGAGGTAGTGGCTTCCTGTTCTTATATATATTTGAATTGCCCCCTCTGTCCCTGATTAGCTTTTCAGGTCATTTATCATCTGTGTAACCAATTCCAAGTATTAAATTTTCTCTGTTTAAAGCACTTACAGTAGTTTTATTTCCTGTGTAGATCCTGACTGATGTACTGGTGATTTGAATCTATTCTGTTCAATGAATTAGTAGAATGGGAAAGTTAATGTATTTAAGCAGACATGTCTCTATGCAACTCTGAATAAAAACAAAAAAGCATAAATAATGTACCAAGACATTTCGTCACAGCAAAACACTGCTTTGGTTTCTGATGTTTCATGCCATTCACAAATATCTCCTTATTTGTTATTCTAGGGAGTTTTCATTAGGGCTAAACTATTTCACGTGACAAGTACTTTCACAGCAATTTGCAAGAATCATGCACTTTCCCAGGTTAGAAAAATAACCCTGAAGTATATTTCCCTTAACGTTGTGCTTCCTGCATTGAGCCCATTTCTAACCAACAGATCCTGGACATACATCATACCCTGGTATAAAGGAATCTACCTGGCTCACAGGACAAATGTGCCCTGGCCAGCTTTCCATGATCTCCTTCTGAGCTGGAAAAGCTGGAGGGAATTTTATTAAGCAGTTAAAGAATAAAACTTGATCATTCTTGTAAGAATTCAGACAATGAATGGCTTATAAAATGGGCCATTAAAATAATTCATGTCTGAAATTCAGCATTCCTATGATGCAACATGTCAGGTGGGGGAACTGACTCCTTGGAGCTCTCCTCCTAACTGCTTGGCTGCTTGGGTAATATTAAGAGAATCTATCTGAAAGAAAAGAAATAGAAATACTGACTTGTTCTAAGGGTGGCTTAACTGAGCTTTGAAAATAGCAAGATCCCACTATAAGCAGATGAACTGGGCATTCAGATACCTAGTGAGTTAGAAAGCAATTCTTCCTTGATGCCCCCTCAGCACCCCTTCATACATCTAGTTTTTGTCCATACCAAACTTGGGAAGTTGGGAGCAACAATAGTCCTTACTTTCTCCCTGAGAGGTGGGAGAAAGTCTCCAGTTCTACTCTTATAATCCATTTTTTATTCAGCATCACCTTCTTTTTCAATGGGCTAAGTACCCTACAAAGTAGGGATGCATCTTAATGAATTCTAGCCCAGTCCACTGGCAGTTAAGAGCAGGATCAGCAAATGGCCTTGGAAAATGTGCTCACTATAGCCAAGTTGTACCCTTGAGGACTTCGGTACTTAAGATGTGCCTGTGTTTCTGCTTCTCATCAACGCCCATACAGCTCTCTTTGTAATCAAGGCCCGTACTTTACTGAAGTTCTTGAGCAGCTGCTCAACATGACCACATTTCATCTGCCATTACTTTTCAGTGTCTTTTAATGTGAAGAAATATATTCATTCTGTAAGAAAAATACGACTAGGATTTTTAAAGGCTGTCAAATTATGCAACAATAAGCTCTTCAATACCCATTTGTCAGATGTTTCAGTAAACTGCAAATATCAGATTTCTTTTTAAAATCATTTCAAACATACGCTGGGAATTAAACAAGAACCACATATTAGAAAAGAAAATAAGCTTACCTTTTCTCTTGTTAGACTCCAAGCACCCTGATGGATCTTCATGGTGGAGATTTTAACAACACTGCCAATACTGACTTATTTCCAATCAGAGCTGAGAGATCAAAAAAGACAAACCCTCTGTGGATCTACTCATTTTTTTTAAACTCATGTTTAAAATTAAAATTTTCTTAGGCATTCAACAGTGAATAATAAAGCTGAGCTCATTTACTTAAAGTTTTAAAATAGCTCTGAATTAGTTCTCTGTGATACAGGAAGCCAGTATGCAGAAAGCCAGTAACTATCTCACTGTTTCATCTCTGACTCTGGAATCTCAGGAAAGTTACTTAATTGTACTCAGTGTCCATTTTCTCTGGAAAGTGCATATGATAATAGGGCTCACCTTGGTTGGTTATTATGAATATTAAAGCAGATTATTCATTTGCTTATTCAATAAATATGCATTGAGAATCTCCTATGTAACATATGTGGAGCTTACCCTGTTGAACTTATGGTTTGGAAAAAGAAATAGAAAATAATTTTAAAAACATAAATAAGTATAATTATAGCTAGATAAAAGCTACTAAAGGAAGATATTGGATGCTCTAAGAATACATGACAGGAGACGTAATCTGTGGTGATAAGGGTTCCCTAAAAAAATACAAATGAGATATGAAAGATTAGCAACAGTTAACTAGGCTGTGTGCGTGTGTGTGTGTGTGTGTGTGTGTGTGTGTGTGTGTGTGTGTGTGGTGGACATTTCAGGGAAAGGAAGCAGCTGGTATATATATCCAGGTTTCTTCTGGAAATTCACCACCCTGGGGCAACAACGGTAGCCTCCCTTCCAGTTATGTTTATCTTTTATTTTCAGCTAAATAAATTTTATTTTGATTCAGAAGTTTGTAGAATTACTTTCACATTACATGTGTGTGTGGTGGAGGGTCCTCTAATGATGCGTTTGTATTTTTTCCAGAGATCCCCAGGCAAGTGTGCATGATGCAGATTTATCCTAGACATACATCATGGGCACATGTTATTCATTCAGAAAATATTTCCATATTTATCAGGCACCTGCTTCATGCCTAGCATTACTTACCCTAAACACTAAGGATAGAGATGAATAAGATACAGGCTCTGTCTAGGACTTTAACCCTCAGTTTAGTGAGGAAAAGAGATACAAAGACACATATCTGTAATATGCCACATCGGAGCTGTGTGTGTGAGGTAATAAATTCCAGAAGCATGGAAAACAGCCTGGCTGCCTCTACCTGGGAGGACCAGTGAAGGCTACACAGAGGAGGTCATATGTGAGCAGAATTTAAAGGAAGGACATCCAGAAGAGCATGCACCAGGACACCTCATCTATGTCCCTAAGACCCAGAAGAGTGCCTGGCATGTGGTGCCTCCATAATAAATATTTATCTAATTTACAATTGGCACAGAAAGAAGTTCTGTGAGTTATTCTGAGTGGATCAAACATAACACCCAAGTAAAGTGTCAGCCTGCAGCCAAGAGGCCAGAAATGTAAACAGAGGTAAAATTGTGAAGATGTTCTTATGCAAGGTAAAGGATCCCACATTTTATTCCCTAGTTTAAATGATGGAAAGCAACTGAAGCCTTTTAATCAAGGAGAATGACATAATCAGCTTTGCTTTATAGAAAACTCAGTGTGTCAGCTGTTTAGGGGATGGAGAAGTGGGAGAAAAGAGAAGGCAGGGAGACCATCAAGAAGAGATTATAGTTGTCCAGAACAGAAATGATGAGGTTGGATGTGAAGGAAGATGAAAAGAATGCATTTCAGAAACATTTTGAAGTAAAACCCATCAAGAATACGTGGGATTAAGGAAGAACAAAGAGACGGGGTGATGAAGAAATATTGCTGGCCTACACGACTGCTGACACCATTAATTGATATGGGAAGACAGAAATGAGAAAAGGGTGGAGAAAATGCAAGGTCCCTTTGGGGCATGTTATAGATGAGGTGCACGGGCATATGCATGAGGGAAATGTCCAGATGGAGAGACCACAGGGCCTCTTATATAGATTTGGGAATCATAAACCTGCTTCCCAGGAGAAAATAGAGAAGAGAAGGCACCAAGAACATTTGGAGCCCCTGACCTTTGCTCTGTCACCGCCTACTCCTCTGCCCCAGGCTTCCAGGTCTGTCCTTCCTGCTCACTGAGGGCCTTGTGGACTGGCTCACATTTCCCCACTGCCCCAATTCCTGCTCTTGCTCAGCTGCGCGCCCTCAATGAATTAGGTGTCGTATCAGGTATTGACCTTTTCAGGACAAGAACACCAGAATAAATGCCTAGAGACATCTTGCCTTCTCTAGCATAGCATTTGGGGACACAGAGGAAAGGAGGTGTGCCTTACGTAACTTGGAATGGTAGGGAGTGAAGGATCTTACAGAGAAGCCAAAGAATATTTTATACAAATCTACTTTTTAAGAAAGGCAATTCTTTTCTACATACAAAGAACCAAAAATACTCATTTTGTCCTCCTTTTTTTGTGTGTATCCACTCACAGCTGCTAAGAATTAATACCAACAATGTTGTTTCTTCTAAATAACTCCTTGGGAAGGCACTTAAGGCCTCCATTTATTATCCAAAAGTAACGTGAGGACAAGAACAGAATTATTTCGTAAAGAAAATATTCAATGAATCATTTATCAGTTTTCCTGCCCTTTGTATAACAAATTGTAATTAGTATGATGTCTTTGTTGGCAAGTGCTTATCAGACAAAATGCGGTATAGAGGCAAAGGAAGATTCTGTAAAGAACTGTGTTGTTTTGAAGACCTAATTGTGATGTTATCTCTGGAATTTTATGTGATTACATTGCTAATTTTTAATCTGGTATCCTTAATAGCATCAAGGTTATTAGGGCCTACCTAGAGTTCTGAGTGCCCACATTATATAACACAATCTTGGCATGGTGAACATTTGGAAATAGGCGTTTGTCTAAGATAGAAAAGAGATTCAGAAAGCTCTGATGGCCTTGAACAGGGCACAATTTTGAGAAATGGAATGTGGCAACATAAAAAGAGGTTTTATCAAGCATCTTTCTAAAGTGCTTTCATACATTTTCTCTTTGGTCAAGAATGTACCATACCCTATCAGAAGGGTTAGAATTGTCTCTCAGACACTTTATCTGAGACTCTTTGCTCTACTTTCCCCAAAGTTTGTTTTCACACATATAATTAATTTTTGAGTGCCTACTACTTGTGATACTTGTTGGAAAATTAAAGATAAATGGGACTCAGTCTCTGCTTTCAAAGCATTCACACTGGCGCCTAATGGGAACACAGGCCTGTAAACAAATGATTTCAGAATGATGTAATAAGCATATTAACGTGGCAATCATAGGAACAGGGATGGCAGATGAGGGAGACTTACTCATTTGAAATAAGCCACCTACTCACTTATGGAATCTCTGAAGATTACTAAGATTCCCACAGAGCCCATCACAAGTAACATGAGAAAGACCACAGGGTGGAAGGAGGCCAAAGACCCGAGGGAGGAAGGGGGCCCTCATGCTGCCCCTTATTCCCTTATTTAATCAACATGGAGTCCCTGGATTGCCTTTGAACATGGCTCTGAACAGGGTTAAGGGGATAACTTTTAATGATTACTGAAATCCAGTCATATGACTATGTGATTTTAGTCGTGGCTTGTGGAAATAAATGTGCTTTTCTTAGGAGTATAAACAAAAAATACTAACAAAAAAATGAAGCTATTTCTACATATCCAGAACTATTTTTTTAAACAGAGAGCTAGCAGTCTCATCAATCAATATTACAAATGATATTCATTGATTTCCAACTGCAAAATTATGCATGAATAAACAGCAAAAAAGAACACACCTCATCTACCCAACTCTTTAAAGGTTATGACCTGCTCTTGGAAACATGTTTGTCCCTTAACTCAATACCTGTATTGACTTTCAATACCTTCTAAAGAACCAAAGATCTCTCATACCCTCTTATTCCTCTGTTTTCAGAGGATGTGTGTTACCAAATTAAACTGTGTAATAAGTTATTCTTAATCACATTCTGACATTGTCTCCTCATAAAGGAAAACTAAATAATTATAGATAAATAGATGGATACATGGATGGATGGGTTGATGGATGGATGGATGGATGGATGGATGCCTATATCAGCTAGCTAGCTAAGTGATAGAATAGGTAGATGTAGATAGACAGAGAGATAGATAAATACATAGACAAAAGATAAAGCTGCTCCTTTGGGATCTTTAACCTCTTCGATCATCTTTCAATGAACTATGATACCGCTTAATTAGCCTGAATGAGTACCTGTAGCAACACTGATTCTTGAATTGATTTATGTGACCACTCAACAGATATGTCTAGATATATAAGATATATGTCTAGATATATAATACATCATTCCTCATCTGTCTACAGCCTTTCCAAGGAGGTAATCATATAGGTAGTCAATATCCATCAGGTGATATTCCTTCAACAGACTCATAGGTCTCCCATAGGCCACATTTAACAATTTGGTTACTCAGAAAACTCTGCGACAGGAAACAGTCTGTGAGCAGGGCAGCATCAGGCTCTTCTCTTTGTGGAACACCTAGAAGAATCCATATTCTCTTGGCATCCAGGTGACAGTTTAAGTGTAAAGGAATGGGCCTCATGTCAGACAGGTGGGAACTGTCTTGGATTCAAAGATTTATGTCTCTCAGGAATCAATATCATCTTAACTATTCCCTAGGGATAGCTCAAATCCCACACAAGGATCATGACAATTAAAAGACCCCACACTCAGGAAATCCTAAAGCTTTGGTTTCCTGTCAGATAGTTATAGGTTTTCTAGCTTAGATGCAATGGAGAAATTTATCACTTTATTAACATTTAGATGTACAATATATTGCAAAGATTGTAGTACAGGGAGGGTTATACCGTACCTCACCACCAGTTTCCCATATTATGATTAATAGCATCTCACATTAATGAACTTATCAATTTATCAATACTTTGTTTTTATTGTAAGCACTGTTGGTCTACCAACAGTTGACATTCTATCTTATTATGTTGCAGGGTAAGAGAACTGGAAAGTTAACTGATGATCAAATTCTCATGCAGAAGGGGAAAGTTAGCATTGGATGTTGTATGTCAGCCTTAAACAAAAAGGAGAGGCATTTTAAAATGAAGCTTTAAAAATGTTGAGTGGTTTTAGATGTACAATATATTGCACAGATGGTAGATAGTGTTACACTGTATCCCACATCTAGTTTTCTCTATTATTAGCATCTTACATTAATATTTTTCATTTGTCACAATAAATGAACCACTGATATATTACATTATTATTAACCAAAGTTCA